ACACGAGTAATCCGCCTTTAGGAAACCACGTTTTCAGTTGATCTGTGTCGGGAATGCCTTCGTGAAACTTGACCCCCTGTTCTTTCATGGGCTGAAACCTGTCTTGCCACACTCCGTAACAATAATGGACTTGGGAGGGTGGGGTATGAAACAAATCGAGGTTGTTCAGTAAAAGTTTGGTGGTAAACACAGTCTTGCCATACCCTGAAGGACCCACCACCAACAGACTGGAAGGGGTGTGAAATCGAAAAGACTTGCGTCGTTCCATGAGTCCAAATGACCAAACGGCATGGCCATGCTACTTTTGATACCGCATGGAAAGGAAAAATTCCACCCAACGGGGAATGGAGCCCTGATCTCTCGCGTGACAGTCCAGAATATTAACCATTGTACTACAAGATCATCACACGGAAAATGAACATTTTCAATCGTATTTTAATGTCAAATTAACAATCATTACACTAAATATCTCACACCGCAACGAGAGGTGCCTTGGTGATGTTTCACTTTACACACTCTATCCCATTCTAACTCTTTCTCGATCAACTTCTTTAACATCTGGCCTATTTTGTGATCGTTGTCTACGTAATCATGTTTCGAGAAACGCCTCAAGAACTCGTTCATGCTTTGACTTCTCGCCCCGTCTTTTAAATAGAACAAGGTGTAATCACCACAGCTTTTACTGTAAATCGATTGCAGTGACTGTCCATTGTAATTGACATGTTTCCATTGACTTTTTAACCAGTCTTGCAAAGGCTGTGTTGACTTGTAAGTCTCTAACGGTGGAGCGTAGCTGTCCATCACCTCGCACACATTCCTACTATGGGTCCAAAGCGCCAGCCAGTGTCGGCCCGGTCTATCATGTGGATCTGTGTTTACAATGTACCCACGAGGTTCTTTCTTGATCGGTAGACATGGTAATCGATCACAAGCCACCGTCAAGTCAAAGTAAGGTTTCAAAATGGCATCCGCTTCGCCAAATGATCCAGTTGCACGTTATTCAGAGGTACTTTCTCCATTAGCGTTGGTAAATGTCGTACAACACGGCTTTGTTCTTGTCTATTTCCAAGGGGTTTTCAAACTCTCTGTACAAGATGACTGTGATGTTGTTACCTGGTGCGACACCGAAGTTCAGCACGATCTGTAACTCTCCTGACTGCTTGGGGTTCAACAC